TATATATATATAGATAGATAGATAGATAGATAGATAGATAGATATATAGATAGATAGATAGATATAGATAGATAGATATATAGATAGATAGATAGAAGATAGATAGATCTGCAAGACTGCATTGGCGCTTCGCGCCATGCGCCTTGTTCCGGACGCTTCCTTGGCAAACCAATGAATCATCGCTTGCTTTTACAGGGAGGACCTCGAGGCCTGGACTGGCGACCCACCCATTTTCCGATATCCCTGGTGCCTGCTGACACCGCGTTCGGACGATGCGCTTGCACGCTTGGAGGAAGTAAGGAGCTTTCCCATGACACGCCGAAGAAGTCAGTGTAGCTCCGAACACATAGATTGTTGGTCGCTTCCTGAATGCATGGAGGACTCCAGACACTCAGGAAATCTTCGATCGTCGAATTACGAATCTAGATCAATTGCCTGTCTCTCTCGATCGGGGAACTACTGGAACCTCGAGCCTCAAACGTGGAACCAAGATCGTCGGGTCAGCTTGATGTATTTCGCAGGAAAACGCCGTCTGGTCGGGCTCTTTTTGGCCGTCCTGGGGCACTTTTGGGCCGTCCTGGGGGCTTCTTGGGCCATTTTGGGGAGGTGGGGCCCTCCAGAGGTCTTCTGAAGCCATCTAGGGCCATCTTGCGGGCCTCCAGTGGCCTTCTTGGAGGTATCCCATGGCTTTCGTGGGTCTCTCTTGGGAGCCTTCTGGGGGCATCTTGAGTTTCTTGTGGGCAGTCTCGGGGCTCTCTGGGGCAGTCTTGGGGCCGTCTTGGGCCGTCTTCAAACCCTCTAGGGGGCCTCTTGGGTCGTCTTGGGGCGAGATCGGGGGCCCATTGGGCCGTGCCCAAAAAGTGGATACGCAAAACAAATATATTTCTTCAGGGAATGTGGCGATTTTGGCTTCTTCGGGGCTCTCTTAACGGCCTCTTGGGGTGTCTTGGGGGTCTCTTGGGCCGGCTTCTGACTATCCAGGTTCCTCTTGGACCGCTCTTGTGCTGTCCTGGGTCTCTCTTGCGCCTCTCCGACGATCCCTCTGATCGCCTTCAGTCGCCATGCAATGCCCAGCGAGGCGCCGTGGGAGGCGCGGAAGGGCCACCGAACCTTTTCCAAGGGCGTCCACGGGGCAGCCGAAACGTCCGAAAGGGCGTCCAGAGCGTCCCTGAGGGGCGGGGTCCGGTTTACGGGTGGGGGGGGTCCAGGTAATAAACATATAAGAACAGGAATGTGTGTATATATGTATACATATATATATGTATAAAACTATATACATGTATATATATATATGTATTTACCGATAGATAGGTATATATATAGGTAGATCGATAGCTATATATAATGATATAAATATATAGACAGAAAGATACATATATATATATATATATATACAAGACTGCAGTGGCGCTTCGCGCCATGCACCTTGGTCCTTGAAGTTTGGCATGCAGGCGGAAATGGCAGGAAGGTCAAGCCGACAATGTAGCGAGAGCTCCTTGCTGCCTTTTCTGGAATCGCCGTGGTAATAATGTTGTTCGTTGTCCTTCCTCCATGCTTATTTTTCCTCATTCTCGCCATACCCTGGGCATTCTCCCCATCCTCCTCAGCTCTTTTTGCGAAGGCTCCTCCTTGGAGAGCCTCTGGGGGCCTCACTAAAGTTCTCAGGCTTTTTTAAGGCCTTCTGGAGGCCTCCTGGGCGTGTTCTGGGGGCCTCTGGGGCTTCCTGAGGCCAACCTGCCTCTAACCGCGGTCTCCCTGAACGCCCCAGTCATGATTTGGAATACTTCGGAGGGTGTCTTGGGGCCATCTTAGGCCGCTATGGTGCTCTCTTATGGCCATTTTGGACCCCTGTTGTGCCGTTTTGGGGCTCTCTTGGACTGCCTGGAAGCCCTTTGGGATGGTTGTGGGACGATTTTAGAGCCTCCCAGGCGGCTTCGGACGCCTAGGAGACCGCCGTCTTGGAGCGTCGGGAAGCCGAAAAGAGGAGAACCCCAAATGCACCGAAAACCTACATATAATCAATGATTTTTCCCTCTTGGGGCCTTCTTGGGGGTGCTCTTGGAGGCCTCTTGGTACGTTTTGGAGCGATCTTTCGGGGTATGACGGCTTCTTGGAGCGCTCTTGTGCTGTTGGGGGTCTCTGGGACGTCTCCGGTGACCCCCCTGATCGCCCTGGGTGTGCTGCGAAGGCTTGGCAACACGCCCTGCGAGGCCCAGGGGGCCGCTTCGAGGCCCGTCCGGAGGGTCCCAAAGCTGCAGATTCTGGGGGTCCCGTTTTAGGGGGGGGGGCGGGTGTTCCCCCCGCCCGGGCTTACAAGAATATAGGAAGAGGAATATATATATATATATATATATATATATATATATTATATATATCGGAGTAGGTCAGGGGGGGGGCCCGGGCTGGTGCCGTACCCCCCCATGGGGGGATTGGGGGGTCCCAGGACTTCCGGGACTGCCCAGGCCGACTCCCAAACACGCCACGACACGCCAAGAGGACCCTAAAGAGTGCCAAGACAACCCCAAGAGGCCCCAGACACGCCGAAGATGGCCTCAGGACGGCCGACGACGCCGCCAAAACGCCCCAAGAGCGCCTCCAGAGGCCCCTCCAAAGGGCCCCAGAAGCCCGAAATCATAAATTGTCCAACAAATTTTGAAGCATTTTTGCGCTCTCGCATGTTCCGCCTCCCCACGGTCCTGGACGGCGTCAGAGGCCCTTCAGATCGCTCCAAGATGGCCGAAGAGGCTCCCAAGAAAGCCCAGAGACGGCCCAGGAGGCTCCCCAGATAATTCAAGAGAGCTTCGAGAGCGCCCCAAGAGTGCCCCAAGAGCGACCGAAGAGGGCCCGAAGAGCGCGACATTGCAAGGTCTCCGGCCTGAGAGGCTCCTAGGATGCCCCCGGAGGCCATCAAGAGGCTCCCAAGAAGCGCCGTGAGGCTCCCAAGAGGCCCCCCGGAAGCCCCAATAGGCCCCCAAGGGGCCCCCAGGGAAGCCCCCTGCGGTCAGGCCCCCAGGAAGCCCCAAGAGGATTGAAAGAGGCCCCCAGGAGACTCCCAAGGGGCCCCAAGAGGCAACCACGAAGTATCCAAGAGCCCCCTGGAGCTCTCCAAGAGGCCTCCGAAAAACTTCCACCACCCATATCCGAGCAGGCATCCAGCAGGCCACTGGCCCATCACCCAGGCAAGGCGCCCTCAGGTCCACAACCCCAGTTACCAAGACGCTCGGTCTTGGGGAGGGATGCTGAGGGCGAGGACGACGACGAAGACGACGATCATGATGGCGATGACGATGACGATGATGGTGATGACGTCGACGACGATGATGATGACGATGATGACAATGATGATGGTGATGCGGGTGATGATAATGACGATGATGACGATTGCGATGATGACGACGGTGATGACGATGGTGTTGCTGATGGTGGTGGAAAGGATGATGGTGTTGATGGAGATGGTGATGGTGATGATGACGATGTCGATGACGCTGACGATGAAGATGATGGCGATGAGGATGGCGATGGTGACGATTACGATAATCCGAGCTAGAACTTGAGCGCGCGCGAAGCGCGCGATGGTTCTAGTACATTTTTATACATACAGACATATATACTTGATATGTACGTGTATACCTAGATATACACATCTTTACACATGCATTTAGACACACGCCGATCACCGATGATCAGCATCACCTTGTACCTCGGTCTTGGCCTTGAGGAGTCCTTCGGTCTTTGTGGGCACATCCCTGATATTGCCATCGCCTTGGGCTTGACAGCTTCAGGAATGGGAAGTAGCACGAGTATGGTGCTTTGTTGGCAGCCCTGTTTCTGTTTCTCTTTCTCTCTTTCTCTCTCTTTCAGTCTCTCTCTCTCTCTCTCTATCTATCTCTCGTTCTGCCTCTCGCGGGCGGGGTAATATCTCCAGATTCACTGCCTCGCGGTCATGACTCCCGGGCCGCGACGCCACTGGGTGGACACAGTGCGGCGTTGTGCGCATTGCCCCGCGCAGAGCGTCTCAATCCATGGGAGCGCACCTCCACGGGATCGCGCCACGCCACGGCGCCAAGACCGCAGTGGCGCGGATATGGATATGGATATGGATATGGATATATATATATAGAGAGAGAGGTATGTATGTTGGATTCTCGCTTTGCCCCTTTCCTGTCTGCGCCTTACGTTGCTTCGTTGCGTCCCGCCGTTGCCCAACCGCTGCTCGGATCCAAGTGGCGCCCACCAAGAATGTTCGACTCTCGCTTTCTCTCTCTCTCTCTCTCTCTCTGTTTCGGTGAACTGCAAAGACTGCCGCGAGCTGGCGGCGCGGCGCGTATACGCGTATACCCCCAATGCTGGGGCCGAGCACCCCTGGTTCGGCGCCCGTTGAATCCCGCAGGATGGGGCGCACACATTAGGAGTCCGCTTTGGGCGGCCATACAGGCGGACCGAGGTATATGCTCGAGGTCGTTTCGGGGAGGGTGCCCTAATGTTCTTCGTGTTTGTCGGGCATGTTTGTTAGCATCCTGGGGAAGTAGCTGCCTCTCCCAGTTCGGTCCTCAGACCCTCGACCACGTGACCTTTTCACCACGTGGACCCCCGTGGGGCTGGACTCCTTCCGAGGACCGTTGTCTCATCCCGGGGTCGCCTTTGACGGTTCTAAAGCCCAGCGAGGGCCCTGGGAGGCAAGAAACTAGATACCAAGAAAACAAAAAACAAAACAATGTCGCCGCAGTGTTTTCACCATGCGAAAGGGGCGTGGTGAGACCGAAAAAAAAAGGTGAGAAGCACGTCCGTCTTGATTCTTGCCGAGGCGTTGGCTATCTCGGGAGCCGCAGGGTCTTCCCCAAACGCCAAGAGATCCTCGATCCTCGATTCTTGATCGTCGTCTTGTTTGTTTGGACGCCGCGAGGGGGTCCAGCCCTCCCGCCACACCGGCGGATGGCCTCCTCACGGAGGGGGGCGGGGGGCGCAGCCCGCGGGGGTGGCCGCGGGGGCGGGGGGGGCAGGCTCGCGGGCTCGCTGAGCAGAATCGGGCAGACCCCCAAGGCGGCGCTGGCTGGGGGGGGGGTCTGTGGCAAATCATGGGAGCCTGGTGTGCCCTCTTCATTCCGTCTTTCGCCTCGACTACCGTCGATTAGCGTCTGGGAGCCGATGACATAGCGCCGATGTAGCGTAGGTTTGCGTCGATTTAGCGTCGATCTAGCGTCGATCAGCGTGGATTTAGTGTCGACTAGGGTCGATTCTCAAGAGCCAACAAGATGGTATGGGAGGCTCCCATGAGTTGCCACCGAAGGGTGGGTGGGGAGCAGGCAGAATCTCGAAGAAGGAAGAAGAAAGAACTACCTCGACACAAACTTTCGGAGCTCCCAGCCTGCTCGTCCTTCTCCCTCGTGGCTGGTGCTCAGCATGGTGGAGCCCCCTCTCCCTCGGTGGGGGAGCTGGCCATTTTCATCGTCAGCGCATTGTCTGTGTTCGGGGAAGCAACTTTCGCAGCTCCGCGCGGATTTCTTGGATCGGCGCTGGGCCCCCCTGGCGGCGCCTCTGACGCGGCCCTTGGCACGCTTCGCGCGCTAGGGAGGGGGTCCAGCGCGGATCCAAGAACTCCGCGCGGAGCTCCGAAAGCTCGTGCGTATGCTATATTCTTCCTCCATGGTCGACTTGGCGGGCGTGGGAGGCCCATGAAAGGAGGGAAGGGGACAGGGGGAGAGGGCCAGCAAGGTGCGTTGGCGCCGGATCTTGCAGCCTACCCCTCCCACCCGTGCCTTCCCATGTCGCGGATTTGTTCTAGGTATCCCCGACGGGGGACCGACGTAGCGGACCTGGAGCCCCCCAAAGGACATCATTGTGTGGTGTGCAATCCGAGAAAAGGGGGAGCTGTGCATGTTGGATGAAGAGCAGGAGGAGGAGGTGGCGGACGAGTTAGAGGATGAACATGAGAAAGAAGAGCAGGAGGATGAGGAAGGAAGAGGGCGGACGAGTTAGAGGATGAGCATGAGAAAGAAGAGCAGGAGGATGAGGAAGGAAGAGGGCGAGGCGGAACAAGATGGAACAGCAGCAGCAGGAGCAGGAGCATGCTGATCATCTGCGCAGCACAGCGTTCAGGAAGAGAGACAAGGATGGACGAGGGTGGGACATTTACCAACCGACCGGCTGGCCGATGCCCGAGATGTAGCTATCGCTATCTCGCGCTCCGTCCCCGCCAGCAAGACCCGCCTTGGGAGGCCCTGCGTAATTAGAAAACTTACCTTGCGCGATGCGGGCCAAGTTCTCGCGACCTTCCTAGAAGGATTAGAACAGTCAACGAGCAAATTGACACTCGTCAACGGTAACTGTACGACCGCATTGTTGGCAAATATACATGCCGAACCGATCCCGAGCACCCAGGCAGGCGATGAGACTCGCTGAGAGCGAGACCACGAAGTTCCACGGGCCCAGCAACCGAAAGGACAAAGTCTTTGGACCACTCCTGGGCCACGTCGGAGACGCAGTCGGAAGCACAGAGCTCCAGGAGCTTGCCCCAGGAACTGAGGAGGAGGAGGAGGACCAGGGGAAGGAGGAGGACCAGGGGAAGGACCAGGGGAAGGAGGAGGAGGAGGAGGAGAAAGAGGAGGAGGAGGGGGAAGGAGCGGGGATACAACGGTGAGGAAGAACTCGGATTCAGAAAAGGGGCCCTCGCTTGGGCGAAAGCGCTGAACGAAGGGAGCAGTGGAAGCCCGTGCCATGAAACACCCTGCCTGCCTCCATGGCGCCCTGGATTTCTTGGGAGTCGATGGTTTTGCTATGGAGAGCGTGACGTTCCCACACCAACAATCAATGGACGCCCTGGGGTCTTCGGGTTGGGTTTCTTGTGGAAGGTTCCTTGTGGCCGAGCTCCTACTGTAGGAACGCATTTTGAACACGCAACATCGTACCCATGCCAGGCGTGACAAAACATGTACGCTGAGGGGGGCGTCCCACTCTCAGACTGTTTTGTTTCGCGGGAGAGGGGGGAAGTACTCATAGCGTGAAAGTGCAAAGACGGAGGAGGAGAAGGAGGAGGAGGAAGAGGAGAAGTGGGCGGTGGGCAGGGCAGAGGGGGAGGAGGGGAAGGAGGAGGCGAGGAAGGGGAGGAAGAGGGTGGGGGAAGAGGGGGGAGAAGGAGGGAGAGGAGCAGGGGAAGGAGGCGGAGGGGGGGGAAGGATAAGGCAGGGGAGGCACCGAGGCAGAATCGGCAGTGGACCCGGCGCGGTTGGGGGGAGGAGAAGAAGGGCAACGGAGAAGGATGGAGGAGCTAGAGGAGGAGAAGGAGTAGTGAAAGGATGGAGAAGGAGAAGAAGGAAGAGAACGGTGGATCAGGGAGGCGCAGAGGAGGAGGAGGAGGAGGAGGAGGAGGAGGAGGAGGAGGAGGAGGAGGAGGAGAATATCACCCAACATTTTCCTGGATTTCGGCCTCTGGGCGCCCGTTTGGTCCCGGAGTTGTCAGAGATCGGTCCCAGATGGGCAGACCGGCCAGGATGGAAGTTCCAGGAGACGGTTTTGAGTAGGTCATAGCTGGGGGAGGAGGAGGGGATCAGGGCTGCGTCGGTCGTCGTGCCACGACCGCTCTTAGCTATGCTCATCGTCCCCTCCGAGCCTCTGTTGGTGCCCTCGATGTCACGGCTGGATCTGCCTACACAGCTTGGTCAGAAGATCGCCTATGACAGGTTTGGGAGGTGATTTTCGGGAGGAAGAGGAGGAGGAGGAGGAGGAGGAGGAGGAGGGAGGAGGAGGAGGAGGAGGAGGAGGAGGACCATAGTAAACCAAATATGCATAAGTGTCGTAGGAGGAGGAGCAGCAGCAGCAGGAGGAGGAGGAGGAGGTGAAGGAGGAAGAGGGAGATGAAAAGGGAACAGAGGTGTGGCGGCTGGCGCCTTGCGACTTGCCCTGGCTCATGGTGCAGATGCAACAGTTTGCTACAGCACAAAACTATACCAGTGGCATAACAAGCACATCGCATTGCATATACGCTTCAGCCTTGCAGTATCGAATTTCAAGACGTTAAACGTAGCGTCGCACATCATTGCATTGCATTGCGCAGCCTTGCATGGCACATCATCGCACATTGGTGCAACCTCGTCGGATTTCCTTATGAAGGGGGCGTTGTGAAACCGACCGTGATGACCACGCTTCAAAGCCAGCCCAACGTGTGAACTCAGCCCAGGTCGAATATGTCGCGCTCCCTGTTCAGAGCCTAAACCCCATGGCAAAACACGGCACGCAGTGTTTTGTGACACGCTAGGTTTTGAGGCGGAAAGCTCGGGTGCAACAGGTGGCACGCTCTGTGCACCCCGTCCGAGGTGATATGCAACATAGCCGGGGTTGAGGGCCGGACCCAGGGCAACAGGTGACACGCGTTGTGTTCAGCACCCAGCCCAGGGCAACAGGTGACACAGCGGGCCTTGAGGACCACACCTTAGGTAAAAAGTGCCCAGATCTGTGTTGACATCCCCGCCCAGGGTAACAGGGGATGCGATCGGCGTTGAGGGCTTGGCCCGAGGTAATACGTGACGCGTTGTGCGTGTAGGACGCCTCTCAGGATAATGCGTGACGTGCTTGCCAGTGAAGGCCACGCGCGGGCGTTGCGCAACCCTGCCAGGGTAGCAGCTGACACGGTTGCCGTTTAGGGCCGCGTCCAGAATGAAAGGTGTCACGCTAAGTACTGAGTAACCCGCACTAGGATAACGGGTGACAGTGTTGGCGTTGAGTAATTGGTGGCACTATCTATGTTGAGCAGTCGCCCAAGGGTGATTGGTCACACGGTTGGCGTTGACGGCCAGGTGAGTTTCAGCACGCCACAGCTGGCCACACGTGAACACAGACACGTGGCATCTTGCAATTGTTGAGCCGCCGCTTGTACACCGCACATGTTCTTCATCCGGGCCTCTCTGGGCTCATCTGGATCCATGTTGTGTTGACGGCAGTGCGCGTTTCAGTTCGCATGCAGGTTCGGGGTGTGATTCCGCGCCGTGCACGTCACCGCGCAGTTGGCTCCCAGAGCGGCCCGGCACCTAGCCTGCCGCCCGCCAGAGGAGGACGCGGCAGCACACGGCCTCACGGCGCGAGGAAGGGGTGTCGTCTGCTTAGTTGTCAGGCATGAGTGGGCCGAGGAAACGTAGACACGGATTCCGGCGCGTATGACGGATCCCGCCTCCATCTGGCGCGCACGCAGCACACCCGCGGACCCTTGACCCCTCTCCCGCGGCATTGTCTCGGCAAGGTGCGCGTCTGCTCCGCACGCCTGGCGAGGAAATCATCGGCTTTCCTTCGCGACCTCCCTGTCCGCACCAGCATGTCTTCTCTAGCAAGGCTTGATGTGCGTGGCGGCATCCGCATTGCACCGCCAGCTGTTGAACCATGCTGTCCGCCCCCCTCCCCCCCTCCAAAAGAATCACTGAGAAGATCCCCTTATCCCTGAACCGTGCTGGCGTCTGCTTGAGCGGGGTGCCCAGCACAGCTGAGAGGTGTCCGCCAGTGCCCGGCCCGGCCCCTCGCGGCGCGACCCTTGGGCAGCCCCCCGCCCCCGCACGAGAGGCAGGCGCGATCCATGTTGGTTGGGCGTCGGGTACCCTCCAAAGCACCGGAACCCCATACCCCTAACGATACGATGAAGACGTGGCCTCACGTCGGTCCCCGTCTGTGCATTTTGGATCCTAAATTTGGACGGTTTCGTCCCATTCATCTGCAGACAAGACCACCTATCCCTAATGCGTTGGGCCCTCCACACTCAGGTCCCTTCCCAAAGGATTAGGGATCCTTTTATTGCGAACCACGGTGCAATCTGACGGAGGTATAAGATCGAGGTCGGTTCGGGGAGGGTGCCCTCGTATTCTTCGTGCTCGTTGGGTGTTCTTCTGCGTCATGGGGAGGGACCTTGGATGTTCTGCTTGGATTGGCCGACGGAGGGTCTCATGTTCTTGAGGGATTTTGTTTGGCTTAGGAGCGACTGTAATGAGGGGGCGATAAATGACCAGGGGTTGAGGAACGGTGCGGCCTCTGTGCCCGAAGGGGCCCAGAAGGGCCGTCCCTGGGAGCCAAAAGGGGCACTAGAGGGGCACTAGCGGTGGGTGCTTCTCCCTCCCCCCCTCTCCCCCTCGGGACCCCAAAGGCCAAACGGGACACGAGAGGTGCGCGCTCCTCTCCCCCCCACCCACCTCCCCGCTCCTTCATCGCCCCCCCAGTGATCCACGCCATGCCCGAGTCGGAAGCGGCCTGGCCCCCCCGGCCAGCCCCTTCCCCCGGCACGAGGCGCGCAGGCGGCCCTGCCGAGCACGGACCTCGGACTCCTGCGCGCGCCCCCTGGCGGCCGAGCACGGCGCCCGCGCTCGAAGAGCAGAGAGCGCCACAGAGCAGAGGCTTTTGGCCCTCCGCGCGGACTTCTTAGACACGCGTTGGGCCCCTCCTGGCGGTGCCTCCGGCGCCGCCCGCCCCTGGCGCGCTCCGCGCGCCAGGCAGGGGGGTCCAGCGCAGAATCCAAGAAATCCTCGCGGAGCGTCAAGAGTTGTGCCGTTTTTTCTTCTTCTGCTCGTTCGGAGGGGTGGGTGGAGCGGCTACCATCTGTGGGCGAAGAGCTGCGTTACATAAGCCTTCCCGTCACCCCAGGGCTCTCAGATGGGGTCGGAGCAGCGGGGTCGGAGGATCGCACTGCATCGCCGATGCATCGTCGATGCGGCTCGATGCGTATCCCGTTTTTTGCCACGCCGACGTCCATCGGCGGCGTCGCTGATGCATCGCCGATGTATCGTCGATGCGGCGCGATCCTCTGACCCCGTCTACTCGGGCCTCATCTAGGAGGCCTCTGGTCACCGGGGGCGCCCGTCCCAGGGCGGCTGGAAAGTTGCTACCCTGCTGTGCCACCGTAGGGATACAAACTGTCCAGCCGCCCTGGGGCAGGCGTCCCCTGGTGACGAACAAGTATATCTTATGCCGTTCTTCGCCCGCGAATGTCAGAGGAGGAAGAGGTTCCGATAACGCTACCCCGAATCTTGCAGCAATGGGGAGGGGTTCACAAACTTCTACGATCAGTTTCAGACCCCCCCCAGACCAGCCATGAGAGGGCAGTAGATGTGTACAGATTTCGTCGCCCGTCGCCTGGGCACCCGCCAGGCCCTCTTCCACAACCTGGACCTGGACGGCAACGGCTTCCTGACCTGGGACGAGCTCGAGCGCGCCGTGATCGCCCTCGAGCCGGCCTGCCGGGGGGGGGGGGGGGGCGGGCGCGCTGCGGCGCGGGAGTCGCCCGCGGGGGCACGGATGTGGTCGTCCAGCCGAGGAGCCAATTGTCAAGCAGCATGGAGAGTTTGGAGCCGGCCGGGAGTCTGAGGTGGCCCAGCACTGGTGCCGGCAAGCAGGCAGGCAAGGGTGGGCAGGCTCGATGTGCTGGGTTCGGGCAGGCTGCTTGCTCTGTTCGGTCTCTGGGCGCCGTTTTCGGGCCCCCGGATCGTGAGAAACGTTCCCAGGGTGAGACTTTGCACGAAACGGATCCCCAGAGTGGTCTGGGAAGAGATTTCGAGCGGATTTGCCTTGCCTTCCACTTAACCAATCTTCCGAGGCCCAATCAGCTCGAACCCCCCATGACCCCCAGCCGCCTCCACTGGGCAGCCAGTTTAACAAGCAGCTGTTGAACAATGTGTTTCCCCATTGACCCTATCATCAGACGCTTGGGTGCACTCTCTGATCCCATGGTGCCGCTTCCTTCCTGCGCGGCTAGCATTTTCCTTTTCTGAGATTCCTAGCCGATTTGTCGTGCGGCATGATTTGCGAGCGAACGAACGAGAAGAGAAGCCCATGTACCGATATTTGCGGGGTGGGCAACGACAGAACATTTACTTTCGGAGGTCTGTGCGGGTGTCTCGGATCGGTCTGCGCCGCCCCTGGGGCTCTCCGCACGCCAGGGAGAGGGGTCCAGCGCCGATCCGAGAAATCCGCGCGGACCTCGGGGAGGGTATGTTTACACTCTGGTCGTTGAAAGTAGATATTCTGGGACTCCCAGATCCTTATTTTTTTGAACCATCCCCCGCATCGGACACGAAGCGACGATTTCGCAAGACTACGCCCGAAAACCAGGCATAGGTGAAACGCGGCGCAATCAGCAGGCAAAGCAGCGCCAGAGGAGGAGGAGGAGGAGAAGGAGGAGGAGGAGGAGGAGGAGGAGGAGGAGGAGGAGGACGGGGGCCGCACTCAGAGGACCTCGAGGTCGGCGAGGCCGGGCGCCGGCTCGAGGGCCGTAGTTGGTAGTTCGCCAGGGGTGTGCAAAATAATCCTCGTCACAGACCGCTGGTAGTGCAATGCCCAATAGGCCCCACCAACGGTGCAGCAGCCCCAGCTCTGTGCCCCGTCGCACCCGTGCTGGGAGTAACCGGCAACGCTCCCGAGGTAGAGTTTTAACTAGGCGGATGCTCTGATGGCCCCATCGCCCATACACTTCCGAGCTCAGGCATTGTAGTGATCCCAGACCAGTGTCCACCACTTCGTGGAATGGGTCATTGTTCTCCCGCTCCGCGGATTGCGGTAGAGCCCCACCACGATTGCTAGTCCCTGATCTGGCTGCCCCCGTTCTTTGAATAGGCGGCACGACTGTGACGTCGCAGAAGAGCGGCAGCCCGCGCGCGACGTTCAGGCCAGGGACGATTGGATCCAGCCGCCATGTGTCTCCAGCTGGAACTGGAATATGGATGGTGTTGAGCGTCCTTTCAACGTTTCTTATTGGAAGTTGCCCGGCACCCTCAATCAGCACTTGCCATGCTGCCACCATCCATGTATGCCGGGCGTCCAGCCGCCCCCCCCGATTGTCCGTCATATGTGAACGGCCGTGTGGGTCACCTCCTTCGTATAGTATGCCGATGCCTAATCGTCGTCGCTATGCGCACGACATAGTTTCATTGTCCAGTATGAGGCCGTTTGTGGTAGGGCTCACTGTTAACCATGTCGCTGAATAAGGTCCCATGCAGGACCGTACACGTGCTTTCCCAGCTGTAGTTGCATTAACCCGCGCATTGGGCCCACCCCCCCAGAATGCAGATGAGCTGATCGTATATGTCTTAGACTAGCCCGGAACACGCATGGAATTGCCAACCATGCGTCCACTCCCCGAGAGCCAGGGGATCTTCTGGTGGAGCTGGCGGTGCGTTGTCGACTGCCAGGTCTCGCCAGAGTGGGCGGTCTTTCCATGTGGCGGTGTCGCAGGCCCGACCTGCTGCCTCCGCTGCGCGCAAGCATTCTGGTTGTGCTCCTGGAGGTGCCTTTCTACCTCGAGAGTCGAGTGGCTTTCCCTCTTCCCTCCTCCTCAGGGGGCGGGCGGAAGCGCAATCTACCTCCAACGCCTTCCTACTTCATGGTTCTGCCCCCTTCTGCCGGCCGACGGGTCTGTTCGTGCATGTGCTTCTCCCTCTGCTGCCCCCGCAGGCTTGGGCGTAGCGCGGGGTTGCGGCGCAGGCAGCCCGCTGGAGTGGTCCGCGGCCTCGGCACCTGGCCCGCCCGGTCCTGCGCGGTCTCGGCTCCCCCCCTGGTGGTCGAGAAACCGTTGTTCGTGTGTAGGCGCCTCGCTACTGCGAGTGAATTAGCTCACTGGAGACTTTAGACAACAAACAAGTTTGAGGATGGCGGCAATGAGCTCACTGGAGGTACAAATTTCAGGCGGAAATGTGATCCCTGAAGGCAAACACTTTGCCTTCCGTGAGCTCATCGCTGCAACACATCTGCGCCTCCAGTGAGCTCATTGCCGCCATCCCAAAAACTATTCTCACCGAGCTCACTGCCGCCATTCGAAGGCGGAGGGAAGGCATCAACGGACAAACGCGCCCAGGAGGAGGAGGACGAGGAGGAGGAGGAGGAGGAGGAAGAGAAAAAGGAGCAGGAGCAGGAGCAGGAGGCGGAGGAAGAGGAGGAGGAGCGTCAGCAGGAGCAGGAGCAAGGGGAGGATGAGAATGAGGATGATGATGATGATGATGATGATGATGATGATGATGATGATGATGATGATGATGATGCTGATGCTGATGATGATGATGATGATGTTGATGATGATGATGCTGATGATGATGCTGATGATGATGATGATGATGCTGATGATGATGATGATGATGATGATGATGATGATGATGATGTGATGATGATGATGATGATGATGATGATGATGATGATGATGATGATGATGATGATGATGATGATGAGGAGGAGGAGGAGGAGGAGGAGGAGGAGGAGCAGGAGCAGGAGCAGGAGCAGGAGCAGGAGCAGGAGCAGGAGCAGGAGCAGGAGCAGGAGCAGGAGCAGGCAGCAGGAGGAGGAGAAGGCGAAGGCGGAGGCGGAGGAGACGGAGGAGGAGGAGGAGGAGGAGGAGGAGGAGGAGGAGGAGGAGGAGGAGGAGGAGGAGGAGGGGGACTCCCGCGACCCCTCCCTCAACGTCCTCCTTGGGGCGTCGCCGTGAGATCCTGACTACGGACGCGAAGCACCTGTGGCAGGCAAAGGATGGAGGTTTGCACGTTTTTGAAGGTGGGACTTCGGGAGGATGGGGAGGAGGAGAAAGAGAAGGAGGATGAGGAAGACGATCGACGAACCGAAATCCTTCACATCAGTAATTTTGGGTCTCGGAGCCCACAGGGCGGTTTTTCATGTTTTCCATTCGACGTTCCATGAAGCCCGATGTCATTCCGAGGCCGCGCGTCGAACGTTTTCGATGGCACGTCGCGTTATGCGATGTCACGTGCGTTGGGGTCGTCAAAGGCTTGCGTGCTTGTTGCGGATCGGTTGATGTGGGCTGGGGTTTCTCAGGATTGTACATTTGCTTTGCGCTGGGGCGGTTTCGACCCCCATCCCTGGCTGATCCACCCCGCGGGTAACGTCGCAGGAAGAGTTCGATCATTTCGTTCGTAGTGCCAGCGATGCTGTCGCGGACATTGACCGCGCCACGGGGGGGGGTCGTCCAGAAATTTCCTACCATATTGCAGTGTTGGTTCTTCGTTTTGAAGAGACACCGCCCCGCGTCATTCCTTCCGGCCCCCTCCCTCGCCCTCCCTCTTCGCGTATCTGCCCCTGCTCTCCGCGTGTCCCCGTCGTCATCGTCCATCGTCATCGTCGCCATCACCATCATCATCAGCATCATCAGCATTCTCGTCGTCTCCATCATCAATACCACCACCATCCTCATCAACATCATCAAAACACCCCCCCTTGTTCCCCCGCGTCTCTGCTTCGCCACATCCCCCGCAAGTCTCGTGGCCTTGTGAGGTGCTCCACCGAAGGCCCCATCGGCAGGGTCCTTAGTGCGCCGCCCAGCCCATGTCGGCACGCCCCTCAGACGCTTCGTGCCCCCATGAGGAGCTCATCGGAGGTCCCGGCGGCAAGGTCCACATGCCGTCGCCCAGGCCACATTGATGACACCCTCAAACATTTCGTGCCCCTATAGGCAGCTCCACCAAAAAAAAGGTCCCAGCGGCAGGTTTCCCAGGCCGCCGCCCAGCATATTTCGGCATACGTTTCACACGCTTCGTGGCCCCACGGGGAGCTACACCGACGGCCCCACAGGCAGGGCCCACAGGCCGCCGCCCAGCCCATTCCGTCATACGCTCAGAAGCTTCGTGGCCCCATTGGGGAGCACCCCCGATGGCCCAAGCGACAGGGTCCACATGCCGTCGCCCAGCCCATGTCGTCCACGAGTGGCGCCCAGCACGGCTCCAAGAGCGCCCCAAGAGGCGCCGAGTAAGTTGCACCCTCATGCAAATAGTTTTTGTCACTTGTGGGGGTCCTCTTGGGGCCCTCTTGGAGCATTCTTGGGGCCCTCTGGGAGCGTTCTTGGGGCCTTCCCGGGGCCCCAGTGGGCCCTCGGAGGGCCCCAAGAACGTTCCCCGAGGGCCCCAAGAGGGACCCCCCAAAGTGGTACAAAGAATTCGCGCGAACGTGCAATCTGTTGTAGGCCTTTCGGGGCCCTCTGGGAGCTCTCTTGGGGCCCCCATTGGTGGCGCCTTGGGGCCTTGGGATGGCTCCAAGAGGCTTCGGGATTGCCCCAGACCGCCACAAGACAGCTCCGAGACGGCCGTCGAGCACCACGGGTGAAAGCAAGTGAGGCTAGGGAACAGGGCCTCTGGTAAGCCGCCACTGCGCCCCCTGGACTACCCAGACAGCGAGGGGACCTGAAACGCCCTGGGGCTCCAGGGGCCCCAGATTAGTGAAGTGAAGGTTTTTGCCATGCAAGC